CCTAATAAATTCCGTTTGGCCCTTAACTTTAATGTGTTGAATCGAATCATTTTTAAAACAAAACAGGAACAGAGGCTTTTCTACTCTTGGAAATTAGTAACATTGTTTTGCGATGTGCGGTTCTTTATGCCTCAGACATGTTGCAATAGACCAGTGGTTCCCAAACTGTGGTTTATGTAACACTGGTGGTACATGAGCTTGTAGGAAGGAGTATACTGTGAACAGGGCTGTCTGTGCCCTTTTAGGGGTAGTGAAGGCTGGACCAGTCAGCTGCTGTCTAGGACATGGCTCCTTTAAGGAAACAGGTATTCAAGGGAGCAGCAGATTAGCCAGAGGAGTCTCAGTCATCAAGTAGCTACCTTCTTAACTTAATCAAACTCCACTGTTAAGTGACTCCAAGAGAGAGAGGGGAGACAGCCTGAAGAAGAGAATTACAAGGGAGCTGTTGTGTCAAAATTAACTACATTGGCTAACCCAGCAGAATTACCTACCTTGCTGTTTCTGAGCATGTCACTTCTCAAGCAGTTTGAGCATCTCAGTGAATCTCTTGTGCTCATTTTGCCCTTAACGGTCTTCAGAATTTGCTACTTGTTGAAAACGAGGGTACCGGGGTAGGGGAGGGGAAGGAGGCAAATTGGAGAGGACGGAGGGGCAGAATTTGTGCAGCAGCCAAACAAACAGAGGAGGGTAAAGGGGATGGAGAGAGGGGAGGAAGAGGAGCAGAGAGGCAACACTGGGAACAGGATGGGTGAGCCAAGATTTAAGACAGGAGGAGTTGCGTTTTGAAGAAATTGCACACTTAAATACAACTTCTATAAATAGAGTATAATTTGTATTTCTAAGTGTTCATATATGAGAAGACTCAAAAAATGCTGTTGTAGAAGGCACTGGTGAGACCTCATCTGGAATATTATATATAATTCTGGTCAACCAAGTTCACGTGAGATGAATTCAGGCTAGAACAGGTGCAGAGAAGGGCAAAGTGCAGATGTTGGCCTGTTATCTGACCTGCTGGGATAATCACAATGAACTGCAGAGGTCTGCAAACCTACACATCCAGCCAAGAGGAAGGGGGAAGAAGTCTCCACCCACAGAGAGGTGCCTTTAAGGAGATTGAGGAGGGGTCAGAAGTGCAGTTAGCCCCAAACTATGACTTTAATGTTTTTAATGAAGTAAATACTAATGGGAATTGTGTGATCATGGGAGACTTTAACTTCACAGATATAGACTGGAGGACAAGTGCTAGTAATAACAATAGGGCTCAGATTTTCCTGGATGCGATAGCTGATGGATTCCTTCATCAAGTAGTTGCTGAACCAACAAGAGGGGATGCCATTTTAGATTTGGTTTTGGTGAGCAGTGAGGACTTCATAGAAGACATGGTTGTAGGGGACAATCTTGGTTCCAGCGATCATGAGCTCATTCAGTTCAAACTAAATGGAAGGATAAACAAAAATAGATCTGTGACTAGGGTTTTTTATTTCAAAAGGGTTAACTTTAAAAAATGAAGGAAATTAGTTAGGGAAGTGGATTGGACTGAAGAGCTAAAGGCGGAGGAGGCCTGGAATTACTTCAAGTCAAGGTTGCAGAAGCTATCAGAAGCCTGCATCCCAAGAAAGGGGAAAAAATCATAGGCGGGAGTTGTAGACCAAGCTGGATGAGCAAGCATCTCAGAGAGGTGATTAAGAAAAAGCAGAAAGCCTACAAGGAGTGGAAGATGGCAGAGATCAGCAAGGAAAGCTACCTTATTGAGGTCAGAACATGTAGGGATAAAGTGAGAAGGTGAAAAGCCATGTAGAGTTGGACCTTGCAAAGGGAATTAAAACCAATAGTAAAAAGTTCTATAGCCATATAAATAAGAAGAAAACAAAGAAAGAAGAAGTGGGACCGCTAAACACTGAGGATGGAGTGGAGGTTAAGGATAATTTAGGCATGACCCAATATCTAAACAAATATTTTGCCTCAGTCTTTAATGAGGCTAACAAGGAGCTTAGGGATAATAGTAGGATGACAAATGGGAATGAGGATATGGAGGTAGATATTACCACATGTGAGGTAGAAGCCAAACTCGAACAGCTTAATGAGACTAAATCGGGGGGCCCAGATAATCTTCATCCAAGAATATTAAAGGAACTGGCACATGAAATTGCAAGCCCATTAGCAAGAATTTTTAATGAATCTGTAAACTCAGGGGCTGTATTGTATGACTGGAGAATTGCGAACATAGTTCCTATTTTTAAGAAAGAGGGAAAACATGATCCAGGAAACTTCAGGCCAGTTAGTTTGACATCTGTAGTATGCATGGTCTTGGAAAAAGTTTTGAAGGAGAAAGTAGTTAAGGACATTGAGGTCAATGGTAATTGGGACAAAATACAACATGGTTTTACAAAAGGTAGATTGTGTCAAACCAACCTGATCTCCTCCTTTTGAGAAGGTAACAGATTTTTTAGACAAAGGAAACGCAGTGGATCTAATTTACCTGAATTTCAGTAAGGCATTTGATACGGTTCCACATGGGGAGTTTTCAGCTAAATTGGAAAAGATGGGGATCAATATGAAAATTGAAAGGTGGATAAGGAACTGGTTAAAGGGGAGACTACAACCAGTCATACTGAAAGGTGAACTGTCAGACTGGAAGGAGGTTACTAGTGGAATTCCTCAGGGATCAGTTTTGGGACCAATCTTATTTAATCTTTTTATTACTGACCTCAGCACAAAAAGTGGGAATGTGCTAATAAAGTTTGCAGATGACACGAAGCTAGGAGGTATTGCCAATACAGAAAGGGAATGGGATATCATACAGGAAGATCTGGATGACTTTGTAAACTGGAGTAATAGGAGGAAATTTAATAGCAAAAAGTGCAAGGTCATGCATTTAGGGATTTTTGTTATAAACTGGGGACGCATCACTTGGAAGTAACAGAGGAGGAGGACGACCTCAGAGTATTGGTTGATCACAGGATGACTGTGAGCCGCCAATGTGATATGGCTGTGAAAAAAGCTAATGCGGTCTTGGGATGCATCAGGCGAGGTATTTCCTGTAGAGATAAGGAGGTGTTAGTACCGTTATACAAGGCACTGGTGAGACCTCACCTGGAATACTGTGTGCAGTTCTGGTCTCCCATGTTTAAGAAGGATAAATTCAATCTGGAACAGGTACAGAGAAGGGCTACTAGGATGATCTTGGGAATGGAAAACCTGTCTTATGAAAGGAGACTCAAAGAACTTGGCTTGTTTAGCCTATCCAAATTCAGGCTGGGGGGGAGATATGATTGCTCTATATAAATATATCAGAACAAAACAAAACAAACACAGGTAACCAGTCCTAATTAATTTGCATCTGGGGAGACTAAGGAAAATCCAAAAGAGCTCAGGAATAAATTGAGTTCAGCAATTTTCTCCCCATTCTGTCCTTTTAAGACACTAAAATAAAAACGAGATGGTTGGCTTAAATACCATTTTGGACCAAAACACCTAATGCAGACAGAATGGGGTTGTTTAGACCCAAGTATTTTGCAAGAAACTGTAATACCAGTAGGTTGAATGTTTTGCATAGAGACTGCTGTTGGCCTTTCAGGCACACATGATGTTCCAAAATTTGGAGATCCACAGTGCACACCTAAGAGGGAAAATATGACTCATTTCAAAATCTGCCATTCATTATCATATATTTTGGAGTTCATTAAATTAAGAATGAAGAGTAAACTCCCAGCCCTACTGAACACAATTGATTTCACCCAATGTTACTAAACTCCAGAGTTGGAATATTTATAAATGGAAATATACTCCTACTTCAAAACCTGACACAAGATCAATTTTTCAAACACACCTAAGTGACTTAGGAGTCTAAGTTTCTTTTTCAAAAGTGATCCAGGCACTTATGAGCCTAAATCCCATTGACTTTCAAGGAGACTTAGGTTTGTCAACACTGCAACTAAACACCCGCGTCTGGCCCGATTCAGATTACTTGGGCTTGTGGGGCTGTACATTTGCAGTGTAGACATTTGAGTTCAGGCTGCAGTCTGAGTTCTGAGACCCCCCACAAACGGAGAGGTTCCCAGAGCTAAGGCTCCAGCCCGAGCCCAAATGTCTACACTGCAATTTTACAGCCCTGCCAGCCCAAGTCAGTTGACACAGGCTGGTCAGAAGTGTTTAATTGCAGTGTAGATACACACTTATGCTCCTCAATCACTTTTGAAAAATGGGAGTTAGACTTCTAGGTCACTTTGGTACTACCGAAAATTTTACCCTTGATCTTCTGTGAATTTCCATTCTTAAATTGCTATACCTTCTCATTTTCTTTGCAGTTCCACTCGGACCTTGATACAGTTGCACTAGGGCAAATGAGTACAGAATTTGGCCCTAATAATTTACCTATACCACTGATCGTGGACTACTTTTCTCATTTGTTCCTACAGTAAAAATATTGCCCACAGCTTAATGGCGTGTACTTCAGCAGATTGTCATCTACTTTCGGAAGCTATGGATTCAAAATAGCCAGAGCAATCAGAACTTTAAAAAAAAAAAGTAACAAGAGACAATAAAAACCCAGCATTTAACAAAATAATCCCTCAAAACCAGTAAAGAAACTGGCTATCATAATAGGCACTGTCTTCTTCTAACACATATTTTGAAATCTCCAATATCTTTCTGGTCACTTCTTTTTTTATTCTATCTGCCATATATACACAAAAATACATTAGCAGTGGTCTTATGATGTTGCTATAACGTGTCTCCATCTCTGGTTTACTGTTTAATTTTTGTTACTACTGCACACATATAAATATAATTTACAACAGAAAAGTGCATTCACTGTCAAGGAGGGAGCCGACTAAGCACCACAACTGCTGGTTTCCTCACATACCAGAAGTGGATAATAATGTGCTGTGTCTCACAAACACAGTACAAGATCAGAGGAGCAAAAGCCATCCGTCCTCCCCAAAGAGCAGTATCATTTCGCCTGCCATACCAGATACACCTGCATATACCATACTACTTACCTGAAAAGAGTCTACATTCATTTTGCAAACCTCTGTGTCCAGGCTTTAAAGTTAGTAATACTCAGGCTGCAATGCACTCTTCTCTCTGTAGAGAAAGCCTTCTGACCTTACTAGGTTTGACAGATCTGTGCTGTGCAAAGGTATTTAAAGTTCAGCATGAAAGGCAGGTCCAACCCTTCCTCATGCTGTCCTCCTCCCTCTCCTTCTCCAGCTGTGTGTGGTTAGAGGAGGCGTCTTCCCTACACGCCCCTCTCCACCCCCTGTCAAATTCTGGCACCAGAGTCTCAAACAATTCACATGTGTGCAGTGAGAGCAGCAGAATTCAAGCCTCTACAGGAGTGTCCTTTAGCATATAGTCACTCCAGCATATGGTATCTATCTGTGACCGACATGGACAGATGGCATGGTTTAAGATCCTTTCCTTTTGGTTAATATTGTATGCTATTTTCATTTTAGTTGTGCAAAGGGCTTCATCTTTTGTTAAGCAGTTTCTGATCGGTACATTGATGTTCCATGGCTTGTGTGAGCATTAGACACTATTTGACATTATACGGGATTTACAGCATTTTCTGTTTACAGTTGGATCTACTTTAGTAAGCAAGTGTGTCTAGGGAGATACTTGAACATAGAGAAAAGCCACAAGGAGAGGATGTAGGAAGGGAACTGCGAAAGCTGACGTGAGGAGCACAGGAGTATCAGAGTGCTAGGGTGTTGCAGTACTGAGAAGGGGCTATGTGAGATGGGTCAATATGACAAGAGAATCATGGAGGAGGGCTGAGACTGGTAATGGGATCTGCATAGAACAGCACAAGACCAATCTGGGAAAGGACGAGAATGGGGGATGAGGGAATGCTGCAGAGCCAGGGCCCTACACAAGAAAACAGGAGCAATATTCAGGTGCATTTTGATGATGTTGATTTTGACCTATATACCTAAATGATCTGAGGTCCTGATTCTGCAATTTGTTACATGCCCATGCACCCAAAAAGAGCCTCAATGAAGGCAGTGGGACTCCACCAATGTGCTGCAACCTGCAGGATCAGGGTTAAATAGAGTGCCCCTCTCACCATGTGATACCACCACAGCTGTGGTCAGCACAGGCCCAGGGGAAATCCTGAGATGGTGGGGGTAAAGACGTATCCCGGAGGATCCTGAGGGGATTGTCAGGGGAGAAGCGGAAGCCCTGGGGAGGAGGGATCCTGAGGTGATTGTGGAGGGAAAGAAAGAATCCTGGCAGAGCGGGTATCCTAAGGGGATTGTGGGGGAGAGAAAGGGAGTCCCAGAGGAGGATGGATCCTGAGGAAATTGTGGGGGAAGGGGATTCCCACGGAAAGAGGAAGATCCTGCGGGGATTGGGGGTGGGAGGGAGAAGGGGAATCCCATTGAAGGGGGAATGCTTAAGGGATTGTCAGGGAAGAAAAGGGGTATCCTGGGAGGGGGGAGGAGGTTCCTGAGGTGATTTAGAGGACGGAGAGTCCCGGGGAGGGGGTATCCTGAGCGGATTGGGGAGAAGGGGAGTCCCATTGAAGGGGAAAGATCTTGGGGGGATAGTGGGGGGAAGAAGGAGAATCCTGGGGAAGGGGGAGATCCTGAGGGGTTTTGGAGAAGAAGGGGTCCCAGAGAAAGGTGTATCCTGAGGAACCACCTCCAGTGGTGCCAGAGGGAGGAAGGGGGAGTGTCAAGGATGGAAGTATCTGACTGTGCATGGATGCGCGCATCTTCTGAGGCCGTGAGAGCCAACAGGCCCAAGCAAGGAGTCAGTCCTGGCCCATGGGACACAAGCCACCAGTATAGGGTGAGTGAGGGGCAGGCTCAGCCCCAAAATAGAATATTTTCACCAGCCACCTATGATTCTTCCCCTTCTTTTGTCCTGTCCCTTTCCTTCTCTTTTGTGTTCCCATATGCCTTCAGTCTTGTCCTACTTCTATTCTCTTCTCCTATCTTTTCTTCTTTCTGAGGCCTTCCTCTTATGCTACCCATACAGCAGTGGCAAGGCTAAAAATCATTCATGCAGAATCTTTGTAATTACTTTTGTAACCCCTCCCACTCTTTGTCTATTTTGTATATGAATACCCTAAGCTCTTTGAAACAGAGATGCTGCATACGTATATATACCATGTGGTGAAAATGATACTGACCTCCCTTGTAAAACACTTTGAGATCAACTGATGAAAAGCACTGTATAAAAACTAGATATTAATTATTATTTATTATTATTACCTAGAATAAAATGGCCTCTGTGTCTTTTGGGGCCTTTAGTAGCTACCATAATATAAATCATAATATTAGTATCATCAGCCTGTTGCCACAAGCCCTCTGGATCTATCTGTCTGCTAAGTCAGCCAGGACCTTTAAAGGTGATATGGTTGCAAAAAACAATTTCTAGGAGAAAACAGGTAATAGGTATCAAGTGTGTGTGGGGGGGGGGGGTCCCCTTGCCAGTAGTGGATTTCAGACTCCCCCCTTATCTTGGGATAAAGATCCCTCCTAGTGCCTTTGCGGAGGCATGAATTTACCTAGGAATCACACCAACTTGTAGGACCTGGGATATATCTGTCAAAATCTGTACTGTTCCATAATATTCTCCAAGAGTCTACCCCTTTTCTTGCCTATTCAGCACATCCCAGACTGTTTGAAGAATCAGTGGGAAGGAGAGGGAGATTCCCCTAGTGGCAAAAAAATTCTGAAAAGTTCCATTAAGATAAATTAAAATATCTTCCAAGAAAACTAATTCCCTTTCTTGGAGATGTAACAGAACTATCTTCCTGCTGTTCTCTGAGAAGGCTCAGCTGAATTCCTGACATCCTTCACAGAACTACTCCACCCCTTTCCTTAGCTGACTCCCCTCCAAAATGTTCGGACTCCCCTAATTCCCCAAGGCAAATCATCTGTCTGTCTTTACTTGAAAACTCCTTGCCGATTGAGTGTAGCTAAAGACTGTTTCATCATGCATTTGACTGTCCCATCCTCTGCTACCGTCACTATGTGATGGAACAAGCCAAACCAAGTATTTAAAGGTGCTAGAGTTAAACTAAGTAAACACTAAAGAAATACATATAATGTTTCTGAATCAAATTTCAGTCCCAAGATAAGCCCTCTGCAAAAGCAGTGCCTGAGTATATCTCTGTGTCAACGTACCTTTTTACCTCTCACAATGCTACAGCTGGTCGATAGGTGGCGCTCTGGCCTCATAATATCACTGACTTTGCATATTTGTATTTTTTATGCAAGATTTAGAAATCATTACAACTGGAGAGAAGGTGGGGGCTCAAACTCCAGCAACACAATTAATCAATGGAAGGTTAGCAGTTACTACAGGGAATTTCAGTTCCTCTGCACCTGGATCAGCACCTGCCTCTCTCTCCACTCTAGTTAATTGAGTCAATAAAAGGAGAGATTGGAGCATAGCAACGTCTTAGCGCTGTCTCTCTCCAGGTATTTAGTCAATACACAAATTATTCTGTCTTTGCCACTTACTGATGACTCTCTTTTAAAGAGATGTAATCGTTTTTAACAACCTGACTGAGAAGGCGAATCAATGCAATGCTCAGAGCAGGCAAAGATCATTAGCTATTGAGGAAGTTATAAAACACAAGTTCTCTCGGCACATCTGAAATGCGGAGACGATGCCCTCTTCTGGACAACCACAGTACCCTGGGAGCTAAAGGAACCTGTCTGCCTTCCTCCTTCTAGCTTGCATAGGGCTTCGTTTTAACTAAAGAATCAGCCTTTTAAAAGTGAATTAGAACCAGTGAGCCAAAGTGACTCGTGCAAGTCCACTGGCGTCAACGGACCCACTCAAGGGGCAAATGTATTATTTATTCCTCATAATTAACATCATTACTGATTGCTGGGACGGTGCCATAGATGGGCATGGAGTTGGCCCGTTATATCTAAGGTTAAGGGTGGCAATATAACTCCTATTCCATATGAATGTATAATAGGCCATCATCACAAACCATTTTGCACACATACATACAGTGGGGCCGGGCAAAACTCCTCCCTCTGACTTCAAGGGCAGTTTTACCTGAGTACAGGTTGAGACCCAATCGAATCCTGTATCTTGAAATAAACCCTTTCCACCCACTATTCACCTACATCCTGCTGAAAGGGAGTATAGCGTGACCTTCACATACTGAAGGGTTAACGAGCTCTCAGCTGGACTGAACTCAGCCCAAGGTACAGAGGTTAAGTGTTAGTTTGTACACAGTTGCTTCCAACCTGCAGGGAGAGTCAATATTTCCGCATCAGTCGCTGACATCTGGGGAATAACAGGGAGAACCTGGGGGATTGATTGATGCTCCCGTTCCGTGCTGCCGGGAGTCGGGCTGCGCTGGGCTTCGGGAGCTCCTGATGGACACGGGACACGTGGCCACACAATGGAGACACACGACTGACCTCAGCTAATTCGGCAAACTGCCCCTATCCTTTTCCATGTCCTCGGAAATGTGGATCGAGTGTGTGTGTGTGTGAGTGAGTGTGTGTGTGTGTGGTGGGGGCAACCAAATCAGGGGCTGAATATAGACCCCCCCCCACCCCCAGCTGTTTTGTGCCAGTGACTTCAAGCGTGACTCTGCACCGCAGCCTGGGAACTGACGGATCAAGAAGACGTTGCAATATTTTCAAGCCAGGAGAAAGGAAAACGCACGGGCAATAATATCTAATATCATGTCTCATCCTCACCTCGGTGCCTTCAGTGAGCGGCCTTGCCCTTCATCTCCTTACAGACCACAAATGGTGATGGGGGGGGGGAGGGGGAAACTGGATGTTTGTGATATAATAACACGGGTTTATGAACTAAAACCACCCCAAAGTGTGCGGAAATTAAAAGGGAGGGGGGTTGCAAAACTGCAGTGTAGACATCCATAGCGCTTGTGCTTTCACAGGAGGGAAGACTCGAAAAACGTGGTAGTGTCCCCCGCCCCCCCCCCCCCGCCTTATATGCAAGCTGTCACTTCAGGTTAGTATGAGATCCGACGTAGCTCATTAGCATGAGCTGTATCTAATATGCTTAAAACCTC